AAACTACAACCCAAAGTAGTGCATTTGAAAGATGGATGGATGGATTTTTAAGTTCAAATTTGCTGGGTTTTTTTTCCTTTCCGTTCTCAAAATTGGTTACCATGTTTCAAGGCGATCCAGGCAGATATTTGGTGGGCCTCCGATGCAGGCGATCTGCTGTCTTCTCTTCCAGTCTGCTAGCTCTTCATCTGTCAGATTCTTCTGAACATAATCCATGGCAGTCAGCAGGCCCCCCATCTCCGTCACAATTTGCTATAAACAGAACACGCATCAACGTGATATTACTAATCGGTAGTCTTTGTCAAACCATGACTCATGYGAAACAGAAATAYTACAAAAAGTCCGTCGATTCCATGACRTCATTTGTTCTCCTCGAAAAGCAAGAAACTTACTGACCAAATACAGCTATATACAAATGTATGCTCTGCTTAAAACTTTAGCAGATTCTCAAATATGCAAGCGTACAACAGTCTTCAAGCTGTATTAAACCATGTTTTATCATTTTGTGCAGCGGTTTTGTATTCTTTCTTCCACTAAAAGGCCCTGATAAGACAAAAAAGTTGAATTTCCGTATCACATTTAGTTTTTGAACTTTCACAATCTGATGAAGCATAAACACCCACCCTCCTGAGCTGGTCCAGAGCGCTCAACATTTGCTCCAGCTGAGCCATCTTCTGTCTTGTGGCAGCAGCCTGGCTATTCCCGTTCAGATCCTGCGACAGCTCTGGGGACGGAGTGGACACAGAGGTTCAGCTAAAGGGTTCACAGCAGCTTCAAACCTTCTACTACAGCTCAAAGACAAGTGAGAATTCAAACCGACCCCCTTGGCTTTTCAGGGTTTTGTAATTGAAGTCAAAATCGTCTTGCAAGTTCTCGAGCATTTTCATCTTCTGTTCCATATCCTGTAAAAAAAAAAATGTTAAAGTTGTTTTAATGCAGTATTTTTAAAAGATTTAACAGCGAGTCTTTAATAAAACTGACCTGAACCCGCTTCCTGATGTCCTGAAGGTTGTGCTCCAGTATTTGCTGTTTCTCTGTCACTACAGTTCCAGTGGGATGGGCTGCCTGGCCGTTCTTCAACACAGCAAATGATAGAATATTGCATAAAAACTTCTTTACTAAAATTTCCGAAAAGACTGGTGTAACTTTCTGTACCTGTGAAGCAGTGGTGGCATTCTGCAACAGCCTCTGCTCCTCCCACAGACAACGGGCAACAATGCGAGCGATTTCCATCGGCTTCTCCAGATATTTGCTCTGCAGATGCTGCTTAATCCTGCGCAGGTTATGCTGGTAGAGCACATTGTTCTCCTGCAGGAAGCGGCTGTACTGCTGGTCTATTTCTCCCAAAAGGTTGTGGAACACCAATGTAGCGTGGGATTCCTTGTTGGCAGCGTAGGCCCTTTAAAAAGAATAAAARAAGACAGCATGAAGCCCTCATGTTATAATGATTTCTTCTTCGCACAAAGTGATTCCATCACAAAACAAAAGATCTATTTTTTGGGAGAAACTAAGTAAAAGCTTACCAGTCCTGACTTTCGATCCATGGGGCCAGGAACTGCCGTAGCTCCATAGGGAAGCTGTCACTGTACAGGTGGTAGAGTTGCTCCAGGTACCTGGTTTCCAGCTGCTGCAACTGGTTCCACTGCGCCATCTTGGCAACCGCTGTTTCAACAAAGATTCGGCAGGATTAACATCTAAGACATGCAATGAGTTTTCAGGAGTAAGCCTTAACAGAACAGCTTTCACATTTACCAGAAGGAAACGGCTAACTGTCACGGTTGCCCTGAAAATGATGACAAACCAATCCGAGGCCTCCTGTTCAGCACAGTCACTTCCTGTTCGCTGAAACACACGGCTTCCACCAAGAAATATAGGCCACCAGGAACAGCTGTTTGCTTTCTAAGCAGACTGGAGTTTATGATCTTTCACCAATGTTTCTTGCCCAAATGAGACTTATTGGAAACAATGGAAAAAAAATAAAAAGAAACAACCCACACTTCCTTTTCTCAGCTGTGAAACTGCAGCAGAGCTCATTGATTCAAAACTACAGAACCATTTCCTTACGTGACAAAAGCTGACTTTTTATGATCATATTTATTTTCGGAGAACTGCAGCATACCGTAACTTCAGAAACGTTCTTAAATTTAAAAGGTTATGTAACTCTTTTCAACGGGAGGACTTCAACCTGCACAGTAACAATAAAAAAAAGACATTCAGTAAATCCAACAAAGAGCTGCCTCCATTATCAGGCATCAGCCATTGTTCAGTGCTTACATAACGGGGATATTGTTTGCAATCTGATCTAAATTCTGAGCGAACAGTGTTGAATTGCATTGAGTATAAAGCTATATGCTTACCAATGCTTTTGTCCTTGGTAACGGACACAGAAATGTAATGACTAAACTGCACTTTCTGTTTTTAAGTATGTGTTGTTCCTAACAACAACAACAAAAAAAAGGGCTGCAAGTATCAGAAACATTTGTAAAAACAATAAGACTAGAAGGATTATTTCTGTCTATCAAAACACTAAAGTACACAGCTGAAGTGAGCTTTACATTTCAATGTCGGTCAATATTAGTGCAATATTTGTAGCTTTGGAGTACATGTGTTATACCTCTACCACATGGTACGAATATCAGTACTTTCAATAGGAGCCAACTATTGCAATAGCAAACAGTAATGGTGTGCATGTGCAATTAAATGGCAATTTTATGTAAAATTTATCCGTATACCTAAAACATGACTTTGTCTTCAGTGTTTCATGCAAAGCCATTTGCTAGACCATCATTAACTTTAACCGCAACATTATAACATTGTGTAAGTATTCTTTGGTTTTTGTCATCTCACAGATAACATTTAAAATGACCCATGTTCCTTCCTCTTTCACCGATGCATGAAAAAACAAACAAAATAAAAACTTGGTGTGAGCAAGAGAAAGCCCTCAGGGGATCACAGCAAAGAACCACCATGAAAAACTTGTGTTCACTAAATACTGTAAACAATATCATTTAAAAAAGCAGTCATCGTTATTTCCTCTAACCCTAATTTGAATAYGTTTTCTTTCTATGCACTGTTTGGATCAAGTAGTGGGTGGACTTCTGCTGAAGGTTTTATCAGGTTGATTAATAATTCAGTGTGTATAGTCAAAAGGGAGAACACCCTTGTTTCATTATTGACTACCATTTTCAGGGCATCTATAGTTCATCTTAGAAGATAAAATCACCCAAAAGCTGTTTTATTTTTGTTATATTATTATTGTAAACCAATACAGCCCTCAAGAGACTGAATATATTGTGAGGATCACTTTTATGTAGGTCACACGTTTGAGAATGATGCTCACATTACACCATTACTGACTGGTACACAGAACATGATTCTGTCTAAATATCTTAACATATAAGATTATTATTGTTGTCAGTTTTAAAATATAAAGGCATGGGTAGACTTTATTATTGAAAATGAGTCAGTGAGAGTGGATCTATCAAGCCAGTCAGGTGAGTTTGGCCTTTGCTCTAAGTTGCCAAACAATTTAACACTTACCGGCAAAGCACAATGTGATTCCTTAAAATCACATTCCAGGAAGTATTTCTTCTAAAGAAAAAAAAAAAAAAAAAAAAAGGAAACCATGCCAAGTTTCCCTTCTGTTGTCAGTGGACACGTGGGAAATGAAAAAGGGGCTACCCTTTGTGTAAAAAAATAAAAATAAATAAAAATAAAATAACTCATCTATGGGATTATTTCTGAATCTGAATCTAAAAACAAAATCTGTCACTGATGCAGCCTCTTTTGGACATGACTCCAAACCTCCAAATTAGGATTATGTAAATGTTGAAAGGACTGAATCCTGATGCAGGGTGTCTGACATGTTGGCCTGCAGATGGGATGAAGATGAGTGTGACAAGAGATGGCAAACAAGTAAATCATTTTACTGGGATCAAACACAAATCCTGGTAAAGTCCCCCCCACAGCAATAATAATGAGTTGAGCCAAAACATAAAACTAAAACCTTAAACAATTAAAACTCACTGCATGCCATGTTGATTGTAATACTTTTACACTCAGAAGAAAGTAAAATCGCCTAAATAAAGTATTATATAACTGATGTTTCACCGCCTTTACACACTGAATAACTTATGACCCAGTATAAAGTTAGCAGCGTCGTGTTAAAGCTAGCCAAGCACAATGACGTGCTTTCGTTTGATTATATAAACGCCAATGATAATACACACAAAAGTATCATAGAAAAAATATGAACTAAATGCAGAAGTTGAAATTAATCGCTTACCCGAGTCGTTGTCACTCCTTTCGAAAGTTTTTCCGACAAAAAAAATCGTAACTTTCAACTAAAATACACTAACAACAGCCAGTGCCAACTTTACTGAAAACGGAGCGAACTTAAACAAGAAAAAAACGCTCTAAAAACGACTATAATTATTTCTCTCCTCTTTTCAACACGAGAAACACATCTCCGTGTCGTCAACCGGTCGCCCAACCCATCCTMTACACTGCAGTCTTTCCAGCCAACCAAACCCCGTGATACGGTTTATTGACAGCTCAAACGACCAATAGTAATCGGCAGCTCTGACACAACCAATAAGAACTCATCTCAGGAAAAGTAAGGCGGGACGTTTTAGTTTGCTTGGTTGAGGATGCTATGTTTACTGCTGTCGCAACTGAGCTCTTCCGTTCAGCAAACCCTCCCTGTTGGCGGACCATTCACAGCCACGGCGCGTTCAGTTCATACGGAGGGAGGAGCGGCAGTTGAAGGGAACAGCCAGCCTGGAAGTCATCTGAATTACTGGCAATGCTGACGTCATCGAGTTTAATAACACAAGTGCTGTTCAGAATTGACACCTACCAGTCGAAATTAATTGACAGCATTGTCAAAACATTTTAACAATACACAAAAATAATAGAGTGGCAGACGAAAAGCCATATAAATGAATGAATAGATAAATGAATTAGGTTTTTACAATAAAAAAGAAATAAAAGTACACATATTATTTAATAAGCTTTTATTTATATTGAACTTGTAGGGCAAAAAAAGTCGTTAACATAAGGATTTGGCAAATATGAGTGAGTGAAACTAAATATAAACCAAAGATGTCCCATTGTACTGCAGGATTTACAAAAACTGTGCCAAATCTACCCAAGCAGTTTTTGCAAACGGTTTCAGTTTCAACTAAAGCAATTTAACAAGGGTGAACATACACTGTGGCAAAAACATAAATACCTTTTAGTAGCAAGCGAGACAGATTACATATCTTCGCTAAAGTCAATGCAAAGATAAAGCTGTAATATAATATGTGACCTAACAGGCCCGTGACTGATTGCTTTAAAAGTAAGAATGGTAATCATCGTCCTCACATTATCTAACATGTGCATCCTTTGTCTTGTCACTGTTCTCGGCTCCGCTCAGTTTTTTTTTTTTACGGAGAGCACTCGGCCTAATTGCATTACCCCACCCATTGATTATTTCAGTGGTGCTTCCTTGCCGCACGGTGTGCCTCTGTGAGTCTACAACAAATCAAGGCCACACAAGGAGGAGAAAATAGAAGCACTYCWGTTTTTCCTGTCTGGAGCTTCAGTTTCCTTTCACGATCTAATGTAACGAGGCTCGAACACTGTCTCGAGCCGCTTTACTCCTCTTTAACATTAAACTGTGTGGACACTGCACACTGTGCAGTAGGTGTCTGTAAAAAAGGATTGTGTTCTGGATTATTATTCCTCTATCACTATTAGCAAATAATGAAAGGTGAGCGATATGCATTCCTTCAAACGCTCGTAAATCCCAGACGTTTGTGTGTCCCTATTCAGGCGATTTTAAAACAGTGGACACATTCTCATATTTACATAGTCAGTCATCTTCTCTTCAGGTCATTCTTGTTCTGCTTGTGATTCCGTCAAGTTCTTTTATTTATTTATTTTGTTAATTAGGAACATGCAAGTGTTCTGCGAGGAGCTGTGACCATGGTGACAGCTGTTTTTCTCTCAGTGAAGCTTGGTGAGCACAAAAACAATGTGCTGATTTACAATCGAWTATTACAATAGGTGACAAACCACAATTTCAAGCACACATTCCATTCTAAACTGCAATCTTAGCCGTAAATGTTGTTTTTCTTAAAGCGTTAATATAAGTGTACTACACAAAATAGAGTACCAGRATTTTAATATAGCAAAACCTACAACTTCTTTATGCCAACGCACGTAAAAAATGTACTACATGTACATTTTTTGACTTTCTGCCTAGCCTTAAAATGCTAAACCTTTCAACAATTGAATTACAGAAAGTGTACAAACCGTCTTTTACATTTTGTGTGGAGAGTTCTGAGTTATAATACCGTGAACTAAACTTGTTTCAACACCTCAACACATTTTTTCTTTCTCCAAGAATACCTTCTCTCTGTTTCACATATGCATATTAAAGCCTCCTTTAGCACATAAACCTTGGCATTCACTTTCCTTTATCATTCGTATAATAATGTGTCAAAAAAGGGAAACATTTCTTATATTTAAGTTAAAATGTTTTACTTGTTTAAACTATTTGCTCTTTGCCCTTATAGACAATAAATCAAACCAACAGCAAATACTCTAAGAAAGCACAACAGTCAGCCTATTGGATATTTTATGAGCTAGCTCTGATTTTTGTTACAAAATCTGATATATGAGCAAACATGAGTCATCCCTGTTGGGTAAAAAAAAGAGAGAGAGAGAGAATAGAGATCAGATTAGATCATCTCTAGAAAGTCTCTATGACCATTACTGTGTCTTTTCTCATCTGACACAATCATCAAGACTGTTCCCTTCTTCTTCCTTGACTTATCTGCAGAGGCTTTATTCACGTTGGGCCTTCTTTAGATACTCTGGTTCCACCAGAGAGTCCTCAGTTACCTCTAACAGAGCCTGCATTTCTGGGCCGTCTACATTCACCAGCTCCCCTTCCTCCACCTCCACGCCCGGCCCCATCTCTTCTCCCTCTGGCTGGGCCTCCACGTCCGTCACCTCCACCATCTCTGTGTTCTGCACCACCACCTCCTCCTCCTCTCCCTCTCGGATCTTCTTGACGTGGAAGGTGAAGGGAGGAACCCGGTACACGGTGGTCTTGGAGCGGGCGTAGGTCGGGTGGTTGGGGGTGAGGGACTTCTTCATCTTGTCTCTGGAGCTTTTGATTTTGGCTCGGCGCTCCTGGTTCGGGGTCATGCGGCTGCCGAGTTTGCCCATTTTCTTCTCCAGGCTGTGCTTCGTCTTCTCCAGGTTGTCGCGGGTCTTCTGCCTCGTCTTCTCCAGGTTGTCGCGGGTCTTCTGCTTGGTTTTTTCCAAGTTTTCCTTGGTCTTTAGTTTGGTCTTCTCCATCTGCTCTTTGGAGAAGACCTTCTTTATGTTGTCCACTTGCTGCTTGGTGGCGTGTTGGATGCGTTTCGTACGAGACTCTATGACAATTTCATCCACCACAATGTCTTCATCGGAATTGGGGTTTGCTTTGTCTCCGTCTTGTCCCTCCTCAGCTATCTGCTCCAGGCCCTCCGCTGCTTTCCCTTCAGCCGTCTCTGCTGTCTTAGATTTGGATTCTTTCGGCGTCTTCACTTGGTCCTGGAGGCACAAAAACAGGAAGGATAAAAAAAATAAACTGTTAGATTGCTGAAGCAGAGGGCCTAACTAAGCAACATGTTTAATTCTATGTCTAATATCAAACTGACGTGGATAAATACATTTAAATGTAAACAATAAAGGCCGGTTTGTGAGAATTATTTGCTTGGAAAATGTGTGGGGGAAAAAAAGGAATCAGAATAAAAATGAAAAAGTAAAAGTAAGTAGTGAGAGTATTGGTTCAACCGAATGACCAGTGAACTGCTGTAACTGGTGCAGATCGCCATCTAGTGGTCGGTTTTCTGCCATCATTGAATTGCCACCTGATTAAATCAAGTCAGAGACAGAAGTTATTGATTTCTATTATGAGACTCAAACGTAAAACAAAAATGAAATAACTTGGCCTGAGAGACAGTTGATTTCATCTGCAAATGTAGTCAGAATGAAACTAAAGCCAACAGCTTTTTTTTTTTTTTTTGCACCAAACCACATTATTTCCTGTCATTTGCCATTGTCATTTTTGGCACAAAMGCATTGTTTGGGTGAAATCTTTAGAAAAGGTTAAGTAAAAACTTTACATAGTAAATTAAGAATTAATTTAATTAATAAAGAAATGATAAACCTTTTCTAAAAACCTTTTCTAATGCACAAAACTTATTTAAAGGGAAAAGACTTGGTGGTTAGATTAGTTTCATTTTATACTAAGATCTGCAGAACAACACGTTCACACTTGGTCAGGGAWAAATCGTATGTGCAAACCGAAATGGAGGCATAGTGCAAGAGTTGTATTCAGCAATTCAGAAAGTAAACCATCAGTCAAGAAAGTTGTGCAGATTTATTCTTTTACTTTAACTCGTAGATGAAACGGTTGATAATTCCACATTCCACGCAGTGTTTTGAAGTTATCCCCGAGGACACAAGGAAAAAAAACTCGTATTTAAGAAAATCTGTAATGCGTAAAGCAAACTGTGCTGCTAACAGCTGGAAAACCAACATTATACTTTACTATAAGTAAAAAATAGGAGAATAAAATCCCACAAAAGAGTTGTGTTTGCGACGCCTGGGGAGGGGGTGTCATGCTCCCACCCTTCTGTGTATCAGTGTCTCACCTCATTGCATCTTTACTCAGTAACTACTGACTTTACTCACTGCTAAAACCAAATTCTATAGAAATGAAACAACTTAGTCACCATGGCAAGCCCAATATAAGTTAACCGTGTGACTCGAGCTTCCATGCGGTTTTGGTTGGATTCAGCCGAGTGCTTTGTTTACACTGAATGCAGACCCGCATTTCAGATTTGCTTTTAKTATAYCCGTAAAATCACTCAAACGGCTCTRTTTCTTCAGGAAAGCATTTTAAATATTTAATTTCTGATTTCATATTTTGTAATGAGTTCCCTTTAAACATGGCTCCTGACAATTGACAATGACAATTTCAGCCATTATCGATGCCCGATATAATTATTGCTATTATGGCCGATAACTGATATTTACCGATATTACACAAACAGACTAATTATATTATACAAATACGCACAAACACACTTGGGTCTTTTTTTTTTGATACTGTAAATAAATGACCAGACCTCTGACATGGCTCTACTTCAGTTTTTCCTGGCTACGCAGCGTCAGTATCACTGTCATGATCAAACAGATGCTGCTCAACCAACCACCTCCCCTCCCAAAACAGAAACTAAAGCTAAAAAGTGGGAAATCAATAATGGACGTTAACATCTGCCCAGTTTTACATGTCGGACCAATACAGATATTCTAAAAAGATAAGAGATAAGATAAGATAAAACTTTATTGATCCCACAGTGGGGAAATTTGCACATTACTGCGGCTTAATCCAGGAGAGGCAGAGAAGAATAATGAAAGATAAATAAAAGATAAACAAAAACAACCCCACAATTTACACATGTGATATATAGTAATGTACATATACCAACGCACATATACACATGTACATAAACACATATGCATATTTATATACATATATACACCATAAAGTACAGTACAAAAATGAATATATATGCAGGTGCATATTACTGATGCCAGTGTAGGTGATTTGTCCAAGTGACTGATGACATCATGATGTGTTTATACAGTCTAACTGATGACATCTTGATGTGTTATACAGTCTAACTGATGACATCATGATGTGTTATACAGTCTAACTGCAGTTGGAATGAATGACCTACAGAAGCACTCCGTCCTGCAGTGAGGATGTTTAAGTCTCTGACTGAAGGAGCTGCTCAGGCCCCCCACGGTTTCATGCAGAGGGTGGTGGGGGTTGTCCACGATGGCTGTCAGCTTTGCCAACATCCTCATCTCACCCACCACTACCACAGGCTCCAGAGGACATCCCAGCACAGAGCTTGACCTCTGTATCAGTTTGTCGATCCTGTTCCTGTCCCTTTCAGTACATCCAGCCCCACAGCAGACCACTCCATAGAAAAGGGCAGATGCTACCACCGTGTCGTAGAATGTCTTTAACAGAGTCCTACAGACAACAAAGGACCTCAGCCTCCTCAGTAGGTGGAGTCGACTCTGGCCCTTCTTATACAGGATGTCTGTTTGTAGTCCAGTCCAGCTTGTTGTTGAGGTGAACACCCAGGTACTTGTAAGAGTCCACTGTCTCAATGTCTTTTCCCTGGATGTTCACCGGTGCTGTAGGGGGTGACTTAAAATATGACCATGTGACCAGTATCGGCTGATACCAATAAGAAGGCCAATATATCGAGCATCCCTAGTTTGGATATTGCCAAATAAACATTTCTGCCTAAATCAGTGGCACATTTGGGACAGATGTGAAGCACTTGCTCATTGGCGACRAACGTCTTGTGCAATTTGTTCTGTCCCACCCCTCAACACCATTTTAAAACACAGCAGAAGAGCTACGATGTGTAAAAAAAAATTGTGTAGGTCTTCTGGAYGGGTTCTTCTCTAATGAAACGTTTCGTCTCTCCTCCAAGAGACTTCTTCAGTCTGAGAGTTTCAGGCAAAATTCAGGCTTTTAAGCACTGCCTCCATGTGACTGATACTCACATCACATGGCTATCGTTGACACCTAATTAACACCTATTGTTAACAGGGGGTGGAGTGATACTGTCAATAGCAGCACTGTAGGAGGGGGACAACTGAAAACGGACGCCTCCACCTCTGTTTAATGATGGACGGTCTTTCTTCACAAAAATGGCTTCTTTTACTCCTCTCTCAAACCAGCGTTCCTCTCTATCAAGAATGAGAACATCCTCATCTCTGAAAGAGTGACCGCTGGCCTGTAAATGAGTGAAAACTGCAGAGTTCTGGCCGTTAGACGTAGCTCGTCTGTGTTGGGACATTCTTTTGAACAGTGGCTGCTTTGTTTCCCCGATGTATAACTGGTCGCAGTCCTCCTGGCACTTAACAGCATATACAACATTGCTCTGTTTGTCACCGGACACCGGATCTTTGGGGTGAACCAGCCTTTGYCGTAATGTGTTTTGGGGTTTGAAAGCCACTGGGACATCATGTTTAGAAAATAAACATCAGTTTCTCTGAAACACCCGCAACAAATGGAATAACCACTGGTTTGGGTCTGGGTTTGGGGTCTTCATTTTCACCTGAAGGTTGCATGGAGTCCTGTCTGTTTTTTACCTGGATAACTGAGATGCATCAGGACATACGATGTGTAAAAATAATCATGTAAACAGAGCGTCTTCATCACCCTGTCTGTCTTGAAAAATACCCAATGCTTGTCTTAAAAAAGGGGGGAGATTCCTTGCATCCCTGAGAGGTGGTACAGCATCAGGATGAACAACGAGTCTTAAACTGAAGACATGTTTATAGAAGAGGATCAGTTCGGTCCTTGATATCCGACTTCTGAAAGACAAACACCTGTTAGACCAGATAAGCAGAGCAGTTCTCCGGGCAGTTCAAATACTGCCACATGATCCTATCATAAAACGGACATTGCCTCCTTATCTGGCGGTGARCGCGGCGGGCCCAGCCAACCCGCTGTGTGTGCGTTTATTTTCAGCTGGCCTTTCCCTCTTTCTGGATTCCACCAACCGTCCTCTGGCTTCCAGCCGCCGCATTGCTCGCTCCTACAGACGGCCCCCCCCCCGACTCCCCACCACTCCACCAAACAACACCGTCCCCTGCCGTACAGCAACAGATAAACACAGCCCTAACCATAGCAACCAACGCCCTCACGTTGTCCCAGCCGCGTGCCAAAGTTGAGCTGGATAAACAGCTGACAATGCACAAGCACATATTGATGGGAGTTGTCATGTGTGACACATCGCAGAGAAATTGAAAGAAGTGTAATTTACAGGCAGACATACGGAGCAGCCCGAGTTATCTGAGCGACGCTAAAGGAATGTTTGTTGTTTGCACACTTCAATTTACAGCATTCAAATCTATAAAAGTGGATATATTTTCTTTTATCAAAATTAATAAAATGCAGTGGTAGTAAAAGAAATATGTGGGAATTTATGTAACTGTATCCATGTACGGACAAAAATGGACATAAACAAAAGTAAAAGTGCCTAAATATGAAGACTTTGCAGCTAAAACAAAAACAAGTAAAAACTGTTTATAAAATTTAAATATCCATTGTGACAGACAGACAGACAGATACATACTGTAGCTATACATACAGTTTGGTATCACATCCTAATAAAAGATCTAATACGGAATTTATTAATGCTCTATGAACAGGTTATTCATGGATATATAAACACTTTATAAAGCTTTAAATATCATTTACATCATGGAAACCATTGATTCATTCATTTAGAAGAAGGGTCAAAACTTTGTTTTTGTAAATTTATGGGCAGTCTATGTTTAAGTAATTTACTTTTTGTGTTTTTTTTCTCTCGGCTGTTCAGTGGAATGAAAAATGGTAGTTTTTTGGTTGATGTATATTTAGTTATATTTACGTAAATATTTTGATGTATGAATGTATGTATGTATGTATGTATGTATGTATGTATGTATGTATGTATGTATGTATGTAT